CATACTATGGATATATGTACAATATCAGAAATTTGGGTGTTTAACTTCACCATGCCACTCTCCCAACCCTCCAAAAGGAAGAGACATTATCGTTATAAGAAACAGCATCTTTTCTACAAGTTGAACAAGCATAATTCAGCTTTAGTGGAAAACATACTTATAGCATTTATGATTAGGCAAATCCAATTCCAGATCACATGGTGTAGGGTACTAACTGTGTTTTCAAAAATATTTATGGATGAGTTTATCTATAAAAATCATTCCTCAATGTATAAATGGAATCAATGCCATGATGTACTGCACTGGATTTATGAACATATTATAACCAAACCAGAACCACAAGGTGGTTCATTCATGCTGTGGAAACTCCCAAACATTGCATAATCTTGTGGAATGCTAATATCAGTTAGTGACAAGCTTGACAATTTGGAATCAAATTCATAAGTTACATGATAATTACAAAGCAACAACAGCTCCTTTTGTATGTGACTCAGTCAAAAGCCAGATAAACAATGCACAAAGGTGGTTACCAATATTTTGAATCAATGCTCCAAAATTGTTTGCGTGCTGAAAAAAGGAACTACCCATAACTTCACACAAAATCAACCAAGGAATTTAACAATGTAGGATCTAATCTGTTATTTGCACAAAAATATACCTACTCAGATATTTTGATAATCCTCTCCAAGGAAAATGAACTCAGAAATTTTAACTCTCAAAAAATCACAAATGATACCTCCAAATCTCTTCTTTTGATAATTCTTCTGTGGAGTCATTTGAATTCCTTTTTTAGAGGACTGCCATCCTAATCAAGGCTTGATCTGAATAAGCAATGTCCAGGCCATTGAACCTTGACGTGGCAACCTCAGAGTCACTCTATCCCAAATCAAATCATTGTGGCTTCCCCGATAACATTGAGCTTGAAAGGAAATGAACAAGAGAAATATGGTTGACACGAACTGCCTTCAACAATCAACAAACTTCAGAATCCGGTGCTGGAAGATGTACTGCCTGACCTAAGAGTGCCTGCGGGTCGTCCATTACTGGTTTTGCTAATGACCCCCTTCCCAAAATACTCAGCAATCACAGAAAACCCATCCTTCGAGCTCTTTACTTGCTGGAAAAACCGATCTTGATCTTTGGAATTCTGCTCCAAGCTTCTCTTCATTTCCATAACAGATCTGTACTCTGGAGCACATTCTGGACATTCTTTTTCATTGTCACCAAGGCACCGCTGATGGAATGAGTGCATACACATAAAGTGCACAGCAGGAAGATCAAGGGTGAAAGTGCATGCAGTGCACTTGCTGAGCTGAAAGATTCTAGCATTTGTCCTAAGATCCTGAATTTCTTTTCTCATTGCCGAAGTATCTTCCTGCGCAATTTAAGGGCTCAATTAAATATCATTAATACACTCAATAAGTAATCAGATGTAACTAGTGAATCTGAAAGTGATTTTTTATCATGGAAAGTTTCAATAAAATCCATTGTCATTACTGATTGTCAAACCAATTCACATCATGAGGATATTGTCCAGCTTTAGAATTACTAAAGTAAGATTGAAAATGTTCAAATTCTTCTTATTTGTAGTAAGGCCATTGTTCAAGTCTTTTCAGATTTATATATTCATAAAAGGATTAGACTTCGTTTTAACACTTGCGTAAACATGTAAATACTTGGTTTCTCTTGAAGGCTGATACAGTCTCAAAGCAACATATGGCTACCCCATCAAGACCGAGAAACTTAATCTGGCCAAGCAATACTTTTTTTTTTTCCATATACCTTTTTCTGGAATTTGAGTTTATTTAAGCACACATGTCCCCCTACTTGATTAGCATGTTTGAAGTGAATACATGAAGTAGTGTAACCAGACCCTTCGGAATAGCTCTCCCAAGAAAAGAACTTGAATAAATTGCCACCTTCAATGAGATCCAGTGTTGGACAAAATGACAGAATTGGTGTATAAAAATAAATTAAATAATGAAACAATGCACAACAGGTAAGCACCAACCTGGTACTTCTCAATAGCTCGCCGGTCATCTTCAATTAACTTAGATTCCTGTTCAAGCTTACGAGCAATATAATCCTTTATGACAGAGAGTGTGAGACATGGATTCCTGGACAGCGTCTGGAGAACAATAATAGGAGGCAAGATGTCATCCCTTTCAATATACGTCAAAACTTCCTTTACTTCATTGGAGCAATCTTCTCCAAGTTCACCAAAATACTTCAGCAGATCTGCCCAAAGAGATGGATCTCCTCCTTTACCTGAATCTCCCAGCCTTTTGCAGCAAGCAATCAAACCGTCATGATCATGGGCCTGCATGTAGCAAGCAATTACCTCTTTATAAAGTTTCATCTTCTCATACAAATACAAAAGCCCTTCTTTAAATGCATTCATTTCACAAAGAATTATGGCCAGATCAACATCATAAAGTGGATGTTCCAGGTCAGACGGCCATGCATTCTTAAGTAACTGTAGCCCCTTCTCACACCTTTCCAGGCGGTCCTTCTCCTTATATATGTCTTTACGATCAGCAGTTAATTTTCCATTGGACTCAGCTTTTGATGCCACAGATGGTCCTGATCTTGTTTCAAGACTAAGATCTACCCCATTGCTGACTTGTGAGATTGATGGAAAGTTCAAGTCATTGGACAGGTACAGCTCCAAGAGAGTGTTATGAATTTCTACTTGAGCAGGTGAGTCTTTCACCTTGTTGGTATATTTTTCAAGAAAATCCATAAGGGACAGTGGATTATGGACAAAAATGTTAAGAAAATCAACAGGAGAGGGCAACATAGATATGTATGTGCTGCTTGAAGTTCCTCTTTTAGTAGATTCTCCATCCTCAGTACAAAGGGTCATGAGTATGTCAATTGTCTCCACTGGCTTGTGCTCTATGAGAATTTTACCATACTCTTTCACGGTCACCCCAGCTTGACTAGGTTCAAGGCTTGTGATATATTGCAACGCTTCATCATATCTACCAAGGTCCTCAAGTAAAATCTTCAAGTACAACTCATGCCTCCCTGCCTTCTTAGCAACATACATGGCATGCTCATGGTAATTGGCAGCACGACAGACCCTTATAGCAGTCTCAACATCAAACTTATGTTCCCCAACACCATCCTCACTTTTAATGAATAAATTCAACTTTTCAACATCTTTCAATTTGGTGTAGCAGTTTAACAAAAGAGTTGTATGATCTTTAGAAGCAAGCCCCTTTTCATGCAACTTTTCCAAGTAATTTGTAAGGTTATAGATTCTCTGTGCATCAAGAAACTTCTGTATTACATATGAAGGTTCAAGGTGACCAATGGTGTTAATGTACTGCGCCATGGCCTCATCATAATCCTGTTTGCTATAAAGATGATCCCCATACTTCCTTAACACTTCTGAAGTTGCAGCAGGATCAGCCTGCTGACTTTGAACAAGATTGATAGCAACTGTATAAAGGTTTTTCTTAAAGAGCATATCTAATTTGCTTTCCATATCCTTCTCTCCAATACACAAAACTGATTTGTCTGCCAATATAAGTATTATATTGCCCCACTCACATAGCATGTGAGAAACCTTTTTAACCACTAGACTGTGGGCTATTAAACGATTCTTCAGGTCATAAACATTGAAAATATTCTTGTCATTTCTTTGATCTGCAATGACACATAAAAGGTATCCACGAAACCATCCTAAAAACCTTTTCTCCCCTTCAAAAGCCCAACAAGGACCACGCCCATCAACATCATAAAAATACACAGCCTCAGGTCGACCAATTATCAACTCCTGATGACAAGACAACACAGAAAGTCAATCAGCTTTCAAAACCGTATAAATAAACAATTTTCTTTGCAACAGAATAATGCCAAAATGAAGGGCATCGAGAACTGCATACCGAGCGATCACTCATTGCAACACTATTGGCACTGCTTCCAGTCTGATCCAGGACTTGCCTCCTAGGTGGCTGGTTCTGCAAGCTGAACAAGCACACTGAATTTGGAGTCACAGAAAATAATTGAAGAGCTTGACCATCCACTCTGAACCCTAATCCCTTGATAGAGCATTGACTCTCATTCTGATTATCCACCTGAAGTTTGAAACGGGTAATACGTTCCCTCGCAATATCTCCTTTGATGCAGTAAATAAAACCATTATCTAAACCAATAGCTATAAGAAGTATCGGTGGAGCTTCTTCTAGTACTAGAAATGAAGTTATCTGCATCATATCATCATTATCATGATTTCCAAAATTTCATCAAATAAAATAAACACGATCACAATGCACAATGTTGGCTATTCACATCTTAATTCAGCTAAACAAATTTAGTAAATAATCAAACACTGCACTACCTTAGCTTCAGGAAACTGAATAGTAAATATTCGCAAAATTCCAATACAATCAGGACTTGTCGAGCTAGTTCCCTCTGGTTCCATTTTATCGAGGTCAAAAACCTTGAGACAGGTAGCCGATTGTTGTGGCGATACTTGTTCATCTTCTCCAACAGTTACCAAAAAGTTCCTTTGCTGCTCATAGAAAAAGAAAAATGCATCAGTTTCAACCTTCAAGCATCATTTATTACTAAAACAATTTGTTTATAATCAAGCATTATATATTACAACAATGACTTGTATACAATCAGACTACAAATTCAACTTCCTTTCCTTTATTTTAATTCATTTTCTCGAAAAACAAGCAGACCAAAACCTCTACGAAAAAAAAAATATAATAATAAAGAAAAGCACAAAATAAGAGGAAACGTGCACCTTGAGCTGCTGGAGGTAGAGGACAGAAGAGGAATGAGCTTGAAAGCCGAAATTGAACTTGAGGCCACGATCGAGGAGGCTCACGGAACCGTCGTCGCAGCCGATCACTACCTTGCCTCTGCCACTTGAGCAGCAAGTGATCTTTCCCGTAACTTCCTCCGGAATCGTGCTCTTACCTCCGTATTTTTCCTCGAAGAATTCGAACTTCCTCCACTGGTACATATTGCTTTCTTCGTTGACCAAACGGCTCTGCTTTCGCTCAGTTTCCGATCAGACGGTTACTGAATTTCGAGGGGAGATGGATCGGGATGTACAATCCCTCCGTCCTGTATAAAGATTGTTGTAGATGTTTTTCTGTTGCTTTCGTTTTGAATCGTGAATAAATGAAACGCCAGCGTTTAGTTACGCGCTACTGAGCTGAAGTGTTGCGATATTTTTCTTATTAGTAAGCAATGTTTTAAAACCCGACTTGGGGTGAAATCCGGCAAAACTTCCGGGTCTCGGGTTAACTGGTTTAACCAGTTTGACGCTGATCAAACCAGTTGACAAATTTTTTTAAAATTTAGCAAATATATCCCTATAAATTACAATTAAGTTCCTATAGGTTTAAAATTTATCAAACACACCCTAACTACAAATCGACCGGCGACTAACTAGCGGTGGCGACACCCTGGATGCAACCCCAGTCGTCCCTTGAGCCCATTTCCATCAAAATATACCCAAGATTTGGCCGAAATAGGTTTGATTTTGGTCAGATTTCACCGACATCGACGTCAGCATTCCAGGCCAGATCTCATCGATTCCGGCAACAACAACCCTCCCCATCACCCCAGAATTACTCCCCTTTTCCTCCCGACCAAAAGCCACCTCACCCCACCCTCGTTAGCCTCATCAATCGCTGAAAAAATCTCATCGTTGCTGCTGCCAGTTTTGTTCGATTTCCGGTCGATTTACTCACGGGAAATCAAATCTTTCACCACCATTACATTCACCGGAAATTGCTCTTCAAAAGTCCCAACATTCCAACAATTAATTGTTCGCCGATCATCACCAGAAATCCTAGGGTATTGGGGTGAATAGGAAAAAATTAAACATGGCCCGTTGAAGCTTCTGGGTCCCGGTTCAACCGGCCAAGCCAGGCCAGGTTTTAAAACATTGTTAGTAAGGAAATAATACAGCTACCGAAAGTAGTGCATTGAATCTGTGCATCAAATGACGTGATAAAATCTTGATCGTGATTAATATTTAATTATAATTAATGGACGATCATAATTTTGTTACATCATTCAGTGCCGTAAGTAATATTAATTAGTATGTAAGTAATTGATCTGGGATAATATAGGAGAAGGAAATAATTTATTAAATTTGACTCCAACATTAAATAAAAATATCATTTGTTTATTTACTTGTACAATAATTTTTTAATACTTATCTGTATCAGGCATTTGCTATATCATTTACTTTTGTCAATGGGGATAAAAACATGTACTAAACTAATTAAAGATTTTATATTATGAGTTATTAAAATGCTAACGCTTATTTCTATAATTTATATTAACGAATAATACATAAAATTATATAATTCAATAATTATAATCAAAGCACAACAGGATGTAGGTGTTTGGGTCAAATAAAGCCGATCTGGGGGCTGTACAAGGCCTGAATCGTGTTAGTAATGAAGGGCCCAACAAGACCAAACCCAAATGAAAATCTACTATCCGTTTCAATCCGCGTTGGATGCCTGAAATAATAGCTTTAATGGACCTCCAAGCATTGCTTTTTCACACGCTAAATGGAACAGTATATCAAATACAAAACGTTTTGATGTTTATATATCCTTAAATTGTTACTAATTGACATCAAAATCATTGGGTACCATATGATTTATTACCAAGTGATGGTAGAGGTATGGTTGAATACTATGTAGCATTAAAAATGGTTAGATGAGCACCATGATATCAAGGCTGTGCGTTAGTTGCAACAATATGTGGAGAGAATTAGTTTGGTTGGGACATAATGATCAGACACTCAACCTAGCTAGTATCAAATAAACTATTTTAAAATTGCGTATAGAATATAAGAATATGACCATATATAAAATGTTAAAAAATCTACATGGAGAACTATATGCGAATCAATGCTCACTCAAACTGACAACAACCCAAAATTTAACAAACACAAAGCGCCACGTATGCTAAAACAACTTGGGATGGTAAGTAGGAAACTTGTCTCACAGCCAGTAACATTTCTAAAGGCTAACCTCAGGGCCAGATTCTTTAGTTCAATGGGACTGAAAAAAGGAGAGCATTGCGTGGCTAATAAAACGCCAAATTCCAGCCGTCAAACGTCAGCTTCAACAAAGATTGCAAGAGAAAATCAGCGGCTGAGGTTGAGTAGAGGATGGATAAGATTGGTGTGAGGATAAGCAAGCAAAAAATATCCACTCCTTTACTTTTCAATAGCTTTTACTACGCGCCGTTTCACCTTTGTTTTTTAGTGCGTAGTTGTGCACCACATGCTACTTGGAAAGCTAGTCCAATGCACGTGAAAGCAGCTATCAATACCCCCCCACCCCCACCCCCTCCCATCACACACTCTCAAGTGTCAATTGTATTGTTTTCTGTTGAAAACAGTATATGTTACTTGAAATGGTACATGTTGATTTCGAGTGATAAAGGTGAAAAAGTAATGACCTAGTATTGCAGTGAGGATGGGGTCAAAATGTTCAATGATATTAGCCTATGGTGAACCCACAAGGAAACACCCTTTGAATCATACTTCATACAAATCTCTGCACCTCGTATTTGTACACGTTGTTATATATAAGACCCACATGAATATGTCATAAGGTATTATTTGTGGTATAGTTGCTCTTATCAAAATCATTGCTTTTCAGTCTATATACTTTTAACATTTAATAATTTATAAATTAAATAATTTAAACTTTTTTACCATCTTAATATATTTAAATTTATAACTCCATTTTACTTGTTTGAATTATCTGGGGTCGTTTTCATCGAAGAATTTTCTTTATTAGTATTCTTATAATCCATCATAATAGTTGTTTTGCCATAGATGCTAATGAGGGCCGAATTGGATAATATATAAATTAATTAGGTTGTTCAGCAATCACTTTTATTATGTAATTATTTCTTTAATTTAACATCAATTGTCATGTCATACACTTCATAAACATAACATGACAGTCATGATTAATGACTTTATTATATTAATCTCAAGAATTGGATTAGAACAAAATAATACATAACAAAACCATGCAACGTCAGATTCTTTATATATAATTAAGTTGGGTGATTATGACAATGGTGTCCTAATCAAAGTCCTAATTAACAAAGTTTATTTTAATTGAACTCGTTATAGCCAAAGGTCGGGGCACTCTCCTCGCACAGTTGCCCTACATGTGTCTCACAATAAAATATTTCTCTTATAATTATTCATTTATGTATGCGACTCCGGCTTCCGATTTTTTAAGCAACGTTTAAGACACGAAATATCCTCGTCTCGGATTGGTCAACCGATAACGAGGCCTTACTTGTAAAGCTAAATTCTAAAAGCCTTCAATTCATTTAAATTAATTAATATATTAATTTAACATTATCCTCTATGTTAATTGTTGTTAGACATGCATTAATCAACTCTTGTAACAACAACGAGTTTTGAAGTTTGGGAAGGTTTATAAATTCCTCGAAAATAAATACAGTCAAAGTAGACCACGGGCAATCATATATATATATATATATATATAACGGGAAGATGATTTCAAAAAAAAATCATTTAATTATCATTAAGTGGTGTACACAATTGGATAGAACATCTGGAATGTTATGTTATATGCGGTAAACATGTAAATTTCAAAAATTAAATAAATAATCAATTATTATCTCTGTGTGGGTCGTTGCATTTATTTAAAAGATAAATGACAAAAACTAAATTAATTTTGTAGTAGCATATGATGAATCCATTATTTCATGTGCACACTTATTATTAACTAAACTCCAATTAATTTTTTAATTTTAAATGTGATATGAAAGAAAATGATATTCAGAGTAAAATAAGTACAATTTTAATATTTTACTTCAACTTGTTAATCACCTTATCAATTTTGTCTATTTCTTACTCATGACATGAACAAGTACAAATGTACAACGTAATCTAATGGGTTGCAAGTTGCAACACTTGTGGGGTCGGCACGTGGTAACGGGAAGTCCCGGTTCTAACGGAGAACTCAAACGGCCCAAGGTTATCTCGCTGTAAATCTTAAACTAGATTCTTCAAAATCATTTACCGCTCCGTCAACCGTTGACGGTACTTGTTACTCCCACTTTTCCTGCCGGCTGAACCGGTCACCACCGCCTGATTTGCAAACTCTTATGTTTACCGTATTCACCCTTGTTTTGTTCCCTATTGACTAATTTACCCTTCACTTCACTTGTATACAGCATTTTTTTTTTTTGTTTGTCTCAGTGTTTTTATTGGTCATGTTATACAGCAAATCCTCGCACACCAATGGCGGAGAATTCAACTGGAGACTTTAAGATGTGGGACCTATGATTTTGCTACGTAGGATTACCACAGGGATGATGTGGGTCCCACGTGAACTAGATATAATCAAGTATGCCTAGCGGTTGTGGTTAGCAGCAAAAACTGTAAATTTACTGTGATGATGACACGTGGCAAACATGCATGTAGCTTAGGTATGTGATAGATACTGTAGCCCCCCCCCCCAACACACACATGATGACACAGAACAAATCACTACCAACCATCTAATACCGTGGGGTCCACTTCCATTCATTGGCTATAGATTGATAATAAAAAAAATCGATCTAACGGTAGAAATAGAGAGTGTCCCCATATCGAATTTAAGGGAAAGGAAAGGTTAAGAAAGGACTGCATGGACTTTTCGCAAATATGTGAGGGCAGTCACGTCATTTGGAAAGATAGGCTGTTTCGAAAATCCAGGCGCATAATCAATAAAAATCCGTAATTTTGTGTAACGACAAGTACAACTGTACAAGCTGTAATTATAGTATTAATTAATTTTATTTATCCACGAGAACAAGAAAACATTTTAAATACAAAAAAATAAAAATATTAAAGTTGGAGACAAGAAGTAAAGAGCGAGTAGTGACATTAATTTAATAATCAGTACAAAAAAAAAGAATAGAAAAAATAAAAAAAAAATTAATTGTTTCATGTGAGAGAGGTTGTAGAAGACAACTATATATTTATGTGTTGATTTGAACTAAAGGCAAGGCGCCCTTTAAAGTAATCCTTTCTGTCAATTTGCTTTTTTTAAGAATGGCGTCGTTTTTGTGGAAGTTGAAAAGCAGAGAATAGAAGAAGAAGATAAAAGTAGCAAAAGAAAGAAATTAACAGAGAGAAACACAACAGAAACAGAGTGTTTGTTTGTTCAATCTATCAATCAACCATGGCCATGCAAGTTATTCAGGGCCTGGATTGGTTTCTCTAACTTCGTTTCTTCTTCTTCACAAGCCATTTAGATTTGGTGGGTATGTTAGATCTTTGCTTCAAAATGCCTACACAGCCTTGTTCATGTTTATGGAGAGTTGTCAACACTGTTGGATTAGTTTTTTCTTTTTGAAAATGGCTAAATGGTCTTCTTTCATGTGGTCTTAGTGTTCAAAAATGGTTCTTGAGTTTATCTTTTTCTGTATCTTTTTGCTGCTCATGCATTTGTTTTTAGTTAATTTTTGTGTACAAATCTGGTAATAACATAAAGTTTGTGTTCTTTACATGTTTCAGAACTGTGGTTTGAGTGTTTAAGATGTTTTGAAAATGAGAGGGCAGTTTGATTTTTGATTTTTTATATTTAATTGTTTGTTTGCTTCTATACGTTGGCCAATTTCTGTGTATTTGGACGTTTGTTTGTTTGGAAAACATTGTGAATATTATGTATTGAGTGTGGAATTTACTAAAATATTATAGTTTTGACTTTAATGGCCTGTTAATAGATCATTTTAGTGTGGATATGATTTTATTTTTTGATGAATACTTCTTTTCAAAAGAGCATGAGCATCTCTTTTAAGGTAAGATTTTAAAATTTGAATTCTAATATAGAAAGGTAAAAATTACAAATTCGTTGAAGCTGATAGCCTGATATAGGAAGTAAAAATATTAAATGTTCTTTACCTAAGGAAATTTGGTTTAAATTCTTTTATGCTAAATAGAGAAGATCGTGTATGTATTTAGTGTTGATGTTGCTTTTCAGCCTGTTCCTGAACTGGCAAAAATGTTGCAGCTTTTCTTTCTGTTGTATTTTGGCTCTTAGGTTGCTGTCATTACTTATTTTGAAATCATGTTGTCTGGATATTTCTTCCTTCTTTTGGCTATAAAGTTGCAGTTTATGGTTTTTTATTATTATCCACTGTAATGCTAATTATGGTCGATTGAACTCAATACTAATTATATTGATTATCTTTCATCTCCTGGAATTTGAATTATTCATGTCTCTTCTTGTGTGTTTATCTCGCTGGTCTAATAGATCTGCAGTTATTTGTACTTGATGTTGAAATTGAATTATGTCTTTGCCATATTAAACCTTTTTTTTTTGGGGGGGAGTCTTGACTTTGTTTATATTTTACTTTGCACTTGCAGAGTTGAGACTTAGAGATGGATTTTACAGAGTCCACAAAGGCTGTCTACAATAGAATACAGAAACTAGAGCCTGAAAATGTCTCAAAGATTATTGGGTACCTCCTTTTACAAGACCATGGTGAACGTGACATGATTCGTTTGGCGTTTAGCCCTGATCATTTGATCCATTCTTTGATCATTGAAGCCAAATCAAAACTTGGCTTATGTAAATCTGCAGTTTCACCTCCAATCTCACCTTCTCAGGTGAGTCCAGCATCCGCTGCTGATCTCCCTTTACAATTTACACCTTTCTCGCCTACTTCAACGCACCCAGTTTCCTCTCCTGTAACTATGAGAGCTGCCAGTCATTTCTGGGATCAACTAGTGACTGCTGATCAACAACAACAGGTCAATGATAGGGATTTTGTCCAACAAGCATACTCCAATTCGGTTGCTGAAGATTTTCGTCTTCAAAACCAAATGCAGTTCTTGACATTGGAAGATAAGATAGAATCAGTTAACTCTGTCAATTCAGATTTCTCAAGCAACTACTTCTACCCAGAACCTGCTTTGGGTGCAAGAACCAGTCGGAGGTCTCCAAGCTTGCCCGAGTTTCCTGTTAAAGTTTGCCATTACTTTAATAAGGGATTCTGTAAGCACGGCAACAACTGTAGGTACTTCCATGGCCATCCTATGCCAGAGAGCTTTTCTCAGATTTTCAGCCCAAGTTCAAACGAGATTCACAATGAAGACCATGTCTTCTCACCAGGGTCTCTTGAAAAGCTAGAATTGGAACTCACTGAACTTCTGAAGTTAAGGAGAGGGTTTCCTGTATCAATTGCCTCTTTACCAATGATGTATTATGAGAAGTATGGTAAGACCCTTCAGGCTGAAGGGTACCTTACTGAGAGCCAGAGACATGGTAAGGCTGGTTATAGTCTAACAAAGCTTCTTGCTCGTTTGAAGAACAGCATTCGTGTCATTGACAGGTACAATATATGGAACTTTATGTTTTTTTGCATCTGAAAAATTACACTTAGATCTGTTGAATTCTGAAATTTTGTTGTTTCTGTTCCAGGCCTCATGGGCAGCACTCGGTTATTTTGGCTGAGGATGTACCAAAGTACCTAGACTATGCTGGTGAAAGAAGTGATCCTGGTGGAATTGTTGCTGGTTCTCGACAGATATATCTTACTTTTCCGGCTGAAAGTACTTTTACAGAAGAGGATGTTTCCAACTACTTCAGGTAAAGATATCTGGATATGACCATTGGTAGCTTGATATCATAAACTTGGTTTCTTGGTTCTAACTTTTTATATTTATATGTGTTTTATTTTGTAGCAAATTTGGGCCTGTGCAAGATGTTAGGATTCCATGCCAACAAAAGAGGATGTTTGGGTTTGTCACTTTTGTTTTTGCGGATACAGTCAAGCAAATTTTGGCTAAGGGGAATCCCCATTTTGTATGTGGAGCTCGTGTATTGGTGAAACCTTACCGGGAAAAGTCAAGGTTTGTTGACAGGTAAAATATTTTTTGTATAATATCAAAAAAAATGGTCTCATTTTATGTTATCAAGAAGTGATTAGATTCCAGAACTTATTGTTTTCCCTGTATCTTGTTTATGTAATAGTATTACTTGCACTAATTCGTAGCGACTAATTTTTTGTTGATATTCCTGATGATTTTTACTGGTTGGAGTCAATGACAGAGACCCTGAGAAACCATATCTGCCTTTACAAGCTTCTATTTTGATGATTATAGGCATGTTGTTTTTGACATTGATCACCATCTTTGTCTCCTTTAATACATGGGCCACTTTATTTCTGGTGCTGATGGCTCCATTTGAATTCTGAACGACTATTGGACGTCTTTATTTTTTTGCTCCATGGACTACTTATGACAGTTTTTGAAATATGTAGCTTTGTAGTTTTATGATTTATCCCTTTCAAAATAGCATCTTCATAGCTGGCGATAATGCATGTGAGGTAGGGCCATTGCTTTGAAATTCCACGCTAATAAAGTTTTCTTAGGAGTTTTAGTCTTTGTAGATATTAAACTATAGGCAATTGAAATGTCATAGGTATAATAGTTACTTCTTGCACTAATTAGGACTAATAATAGGGTTATTCTTGGCAAATTGAAATGCTTCATTTGTGCAATCATCTATTTTTTGAATTCAATAGAGAATATTTCTTCTGTCTTATATTCCCATTTTTGTTGCTTACACTAAGAACTTTTGAAACTTACGGGAACTACAATTATGCATATCTTTGTATTGTTGTGCATTTTTCAAAGATTCACAGAAGTAATGTGAAACGATTGTCCTAGATAGTGAATTACGTAAGCTTTCTTAAGTTTGCTTTTCTGTTTGCATATGGGAATTAGTTCTTACAGTGGTATTTACAGTTTCAAGAATTATTTTTCTTCAGGAAGTATACAGAAAAAGTGCAACACCCTATGTTTTATGGCCAACAGTTTATGGATGGTGATTCTGAGGTTCACTCGAGTGAGTAAAAAGACCGTCATACCTGTGTATCTTTCTTTTGTCTTTCAACAGTTTTGACTTTTGGAGTTACATTATGTTCTAATGTTCACTTGTCATTTAATTGTGTGGTCTTTCTACAGTGCCAAGAGTTTGTGATAATTCGAGATTACTCAGGAAGCAGCTGATGGAGGAACAGGAGCAAGCATTTGAATTTGAGAGAAGGCGCTTTTCAGAGATGCATTTAGCACCTAAACCGTTGACTCATCACTCCTACTTTGGCTACTCAATGGATGAGTTGAAGCTGTCAGGAGGTTTGTTAATTTTACATCAAAAAGAGTTATTTACTTATAATTTCCTTTTTGTTATATTATTTTTCTTCCTTACAATTTTCCTTTTACATCTATTCGTTGACTGATATACTTGTCTTTTTGAACGTTATAGCCCGTGGAGAACAAGCAGAATTTCCTTCGGCAGAGCGATTCAATTATTTGTTGGATGTACTCAATAATGGTTCCACCAGTGAGGACAATGTCACGCATATGAATACCCGTTATAATGATCAGGAGAGGTAATAATGCTTTGATATTCATTCTATTCTTTTAGTAGATTAGAGTTTACCATTAAGAACATAAGAATAGTTTGCTGGTTAGTGCTCCTCTCCTTTTTGAGAATCACATGGAAGCATAATTATTTTCTGTCTTGTGGGGGTATTCAAAAGCAGAGTGCATTTGGTCCACGTGCTATATTTAACAATTAGTAATCTTCTTTGTGGATGCGTTTTCCACATTTTTTATATCGATTATCTTTTTCTTTTTCTTTTGGTTTATTGTTTTAAACCACTTGCAGTAATCAAGGACTTAATCTTCCTGAGAGCCCATTTGCATCTCCAATAGGAAGCGGTATTTCAACAGTTATATAGAGATTCAGACACAGAAGAATTATAGAGGTAGAAGACCAGAGTTGGAAGAAGATTATTTTCGTGGGGTTTTAATACATGAGAAGTTTATTTTTCTTGCCATACCTCAACGTGGTCGATCAGTCAGCTGCACAGTGCATACCAAAAGGAGAGACAATAGTACAAGTTCTTTCTCCATGTTTACTTGGTGGAGAAGATTACAAAGAAAGATGATATAGAAATCTAATATGTAACAGGTCTTTATTTTTCTCTTTTTCCCTTACCTGAATCAATTAATGTAATCACAGAAAGTAATTAGCCAGAGAGCTTATTGGTCTTTAGAAGAAAATGTAAAATATAGTCTTTCTCTAGTAGAGAGGAAGTATTAAAAATATATATATATATGTGCAGGGTGCAGAGATAAAGAAGAAAGTTGTAGAGATCTCTGCAATACTGACATACAAATTAATGCTAAATAATCTAATTTATACAATGCAGCTTTACTTTAGTACATATTTCTGAAGCCATGTGTAATCTCTCAATCTTGTGCTTATTTCTTGGTAGTTTCTTATCATAGAGATAATAATTAGAAAATCATAATATAGTTATATATATATTGATGAATGTTGGAAGCATATGTTCAGCCTTAAATGGTGGAAATAAAAGGTGCATAATCAATGTTTGCAGTTGTGGTTACTGCATCATTGTGTCTATTTCTTTGTGCAAATTATGCCTTTTTCAGCAAAAGAAACCTTCAAGTAAGGCTAGTTGTTATAAAATAATATAAACTAAATTCATTGATATCCGATTGATTATTGACCCTTTCATAAGTGAAAGTGAGGTCAGAATTGCATGTTCTAAAAGTGGGTTGTATCTGGAGCTGATTGTGATTCTGTATAAGATATGTGGGGAGACCATATGGGCTATACTGTTCCATTATATTTAAACAGTGACTTGATTTAAATGTTTTTGGAGTTAGCTTTTTTACAGCTAAGGCCATCTCCAACCACAATAACTAAATTGGTGTAAGTTTTGGTGTGAAACACTATTGCATCTCCAATCCATTACACAAAAAAAATATTCCTTAGAATATTTTTTTTCTTTTTCTTTTTATTAATAATCAACAATTAATCTATTTCATTAATTATTTATATATATTAATTAAATATTGGGAATAATATTTTTATTAAATAATAATTACTTTGAAAATTATACTAATTTAATAAAATTAAGCATTTATTTAATCAAATAAATATTACATTTAATATAGAAAAATATTACTTTTAATATAAAATGCCACAAAAAATATATATATATTTCATAGTATTCTGGTAGATTATAAAAAAATATATTTTATAATTTACAGGAATACTAAATTGTTATTTTAGTTTATGTTATATTTTCTTTTAATTTTAGTGTTTTTAAATTAGTGTTAATTTTTATTTTGAGTTATTGTAGTTTAATATTTGCATTGAATAAAGTTTTGTTTTTAATTTTTCATCATTTTTTTAATTATATAATTATTATGAATTTATTATTATAAATAATAATCAAATTAACATAAATACAAATAACAAAAATTAAATTAAAAAAAATCACGCGAAATTGATGTGCATGAACAGTGCTATACCAAATTTGGCGTGACATTGTGCATTTACACCAAATTGATGTAATGTTTGGTGTTGGGTTAGAGATGCCCTAATCATGATAAGTAATTGGAGTATTCTTGTAAATCCCAGAAAATGAAATGAAAATTTTGTTGACAGAGGAGGAGCATCTTTCAGAAAGAATTTCCCTTTAACCATGTTGGCCACAATAGTGAATGACTTTTGTTCATCTTTTACTACACTTTGCTTGTAAGTAAGGTTAGTGTTTTTTACTTTATTTTTTTCCCCTAATTTTGTGGGCTAAATGACAGAAGCTAAATGTAATGTAGGTCAATGCCGGCCATTTACAGCTGATGATTATCATTAATCGTATTTAATTGTTATCTAAATCATAATTGCAGTTGCTTGGAAAAAAGAATGTTCTTTTTTTTTTTTTTTTTTTAAAAAAAAGTTTAGCGCACATGGGTAGTTGCCAAAATGAGGGAACAGTAATTTTGAAGTTATCATGTTCTTTATTAGTTTATATTGCTCATGTAATGTGTGGGTGTTTAAAATAGTTCTTATCAATAATGAGAGACAATATCTATCCACTTCTGAATTTCATATTGCTAATCCCATTAACATTTCCTCGACTCAAATTTGAGAAAAAACCAATGGATAAGCTTGAATAAGTGTTTAATCATGGCTTCTATTCATGTGACGTAGCCCATCTGAACTTGTTGCCAGGTCCAGTTGGCATCATCCAATCTGATATTAAGACAAAGGGATGACTTGGATCAACCTGTAGCATAGCTGTTTCAATAAGTTTAGTTTGGGCTTGTGTGATATCCGTTCCCCAGTTAGGGAGCAAATATAATATCTAATAGCCAACCCCGACATACTGTCTTCTCCACTAAGACCACGAGTAGATTCCTTCATCCATTATGAAGTCCAGAGCAGAGACACAATGCATACTAATGGAGATAACAATGATGCTTTATCTTAATTAGCAGGCAGGAAAACTCAGATGCTGTGGGAAGGGCAAAAAGAAGATATGAATCAAACCTAAATCTATCCAGCTCCAAACTCTCTCCTGCAATCTTTGCATGTATAGCTACAATGTCAAACATGATTCTCTTAACGACACATGGAAGTGACACTAAACTGAAACGTTTTGGCATGCTGAACCACAAGCAACACAAAATCTGATGGCAGCCTCATGGTGAAGCTACCTGGACTAACCGAAACTTGAAAGCATTCAATATTCATTACAATTTTACTCGATGCTTAAGTGATACTAACTATCACTTCTTAATTGTATCTTAAATATCATATCAATTAACATTAAAACATCTCATGGTGTTAGTGCAAGATATGTCGGAATTTTCTAACATAGAATCCTGCCCAGAAAACACAAATTACATTGAGAGGTTTACAGTCTGTGCTGACCCCTAGGTAGATGTTACAGTACCCAGTGGGCCAAAGAGTATTTCGGTAAACAAGCAGTCAATAATTCAGAAAGCTAGAAAAAAAGTTCCTCGGGTGTACATTGCACCTCTAAACTCATCTGGAGTTAATGTTCAATCGGCCTATAACCAAGTGTGAAATATTTGCACAGTCTACCTATATATTTCTTTTTTATAAGAATCATAAAACGAACTTCAAACTAATCGAGCTTTTCTGCCAGACTAGGTTTATGTCAAGCCTTCGACTCTGCTGCAGCATGAAGCAGCTCGTCTGGAGTTGCAGCTGGGTCCAAATCCCAACATTTACCTGACAAATTAATTGTTTCTCCTTGAAGTAGCCAAGATGGCACCTGGTGTGAAAACCGTAACATTTCTCTCCTAGGAATCCATTTAATAGCATGCTTATCAGAATTCCTTTGATAAACTGTCTTGAACCCTGTCAGCTTGATGAGGGGAGCAATACAAACTCCAAGCTCCTCAGAGTAATCATCAAGAACCTCCACCATCTCATACTGGTGCCTCACATTATCTGGTGTTGATCTATCCCAATCTCGTGACCAGTTCCGATAAACAGCCCATATCTCCCCACTTTTGGGAAATATCCGAACACAACCTCCCCTGCCAGCCTTTTGTCCTTTCAGAAGATGAGAGAAAATGTTGACTTGATCAACAACATCAGAATTCCAAGCCCTGAAGTGTCCACAAGATTTGGTAAATCCAAATTCCACCCAATTCACAGAACCAAATTCGCTATCAGTTTTGGAGTTCAAGTAGGTGATGAGAATCTTAAAAGGCTTAGTTGAGATAACCTGTCGAATCAGACAATACAAGCGTGGCATGCCGTCGTCTTCATCATATATGGCCCATATCTGTTTTGGCTTGAAGCATTCTTCTGATCTGTCTTTGTCAAAATCATGGAAATCAGGGTCAGGGACTGTTATTGCAACTGATCCACTTCTATCTGACTCAGTTTTATTACCAGAAACAAACAAATCTGCACTTTTAGATGCCTCCCCAGATTGCCCAGCATCAGCCAGTGATTTTGAGTTTTCTTTTACTGCAGCCACAGCTTTTGTAGCCAATCTCATAAGCTCCAATTGCTTCCGAATTTCTGTCCTTGCTTTGTCAATCAACAACTTTCTAGCATCAAATGCAGGTGCCATTGAGCAGCGTTTATTAGGTGGTTCAGTTGGGCGGACAAGCTTGGGATCCTGCTCATTACTTGCATTACCATTTGCTAAGTTGGCTTCAGAAGCAGGTTCAGACCCATTTTTAAAACTAGATGCCACAACCACCTTCCTTCTCTTATCCTGTCTACCAGCCTTTGACCCTGAAGGTTCAACAGAACCAGATATAGAATGTTTTCCATTAGAGCCAGATTTAACCTTAGATCCAGCACCATTAACATTTCCATTCATCTGATAGCCAGCATCACTGGATATAGCAGATGATCCATTGGGAGTGACAATGCTGGTAGAAGTTCCAGAAAGTGAGCTCCACTGAAATGAAACATTTGAAACATACTCAAAGCCATGTCCAGAATGAAATCCAGCAATTCCATTCCCAGTAATAATTGTAGCATTGGTTGGGACATATGTAACCCCATCATATCCATGACTTCCATACCCATTAGAAGACACATATGACCAAGGGCAATAAGGGAAAGAACCATTCACTGGTGCTGTCCCAGTTTCCACAGCAACGAAAGTACCACGGCAGTTCTTGCAGGAAAGTCTCTTATTCACATACTTTCGGAGATACTCATACTGAACTTTACAAGATGTGCAAACAGTCCAGAAAGTATCAAGCCTAGTATGAGAAGATGAATTGGAGCAATTGCTATGTCCTGTAACTCCAGTAGTATATGCCGGTGATAAATTTGTCTGAACAACTCCAGATGCCATCTTTTTATTTCTCTTGAGATCATAAGAGCTTCTCTTACCATGGTCAGACAAGAGAGTCCATGCTTCAGAAACAAGCTTGAAAGCTCCATCAGCTCCCACGCATTTGTTTTTATCAGGGTGGAGCAATACAGCCATCTTCCTGTACTGTTTCTTCACCGCATCTTTATTAGCAGAAGGCTTCAATCCAAGGACTGAATAATAATCGATTTCCCCATTACACTTAATCTCAGAGGCAAAATAAACTTCAAATGTGGCCACCATTTGAGCTATGCCCTCTAGACCTGGACAGAGTGTCTTAGCTTTTAATGCATAATTCTTTGCCCCTGCAAAATCTTTCTCTGCAAATCGCTTCTCTGCAATTTCTTTTGCTCTAAGGGCCTCCTCAACGTTAGCTTCCATTTAGAAATTTAAACCACTTCAAAACCGAATTTTTTAAACAAAAGCTATGACCAAGCCAGCATTCCTAATCGTGAAATAAATCTGATTCTTGAGTACATTCTCTCATCTGCAAACATGTAATAAGGCAATATTTAGTTTTAAATTTCATGTCATCAAGCTTCAACATTTTCCTAGAAATAACTTTAATAAACCAAGTCACGCTATTTTGAGCTAGTACAAAGCAGTATTAATTTGAGCGTTTACTCTTAGGATCTTAACTTGAGATCTGTTTGATTGCCAAGAAACCGATGAAAAAGAAGACTCAAATTGAAAGTTTAAATATCTCCATCATTTCGCTATCTGAAACATTAAAAAAATTAAAAAACTTGATACAGTTGATGTGTTCCTTATCATAAACACAACATAAATGTCAAGCTTCTAACTTCATTTTCCTTCATTTTCGCAGCTACCAAACACTCACTAATGTCAAAATCAAACACGCCATTTCATAATTACAGCTCAAGGTCACATATTTCAGCGAAAATACCCAAATCGAAAGCCAAATCTCACTAAATTCAGCATTAAAACAAATGCACATGGATCCAAGTTACAAATACGCCAAATAATAATAAAAAAAACCGCCCTAAAATATCAATTATCAAATCTAAAGTATCCCACAACAACCTAAATAGTATAAACAAAATCAAAGCTTGCACTAACAAGTCACACATAAAAAATACATACTTACTGAGATTCGAGCAGAAACTGAAGTGAAGCAAAAGACCCAGATCGCCAGGTGTCCCAGTGAGCTCGAGCAAATCAAGACTGTGTTGAGCTAATTGTGAAACTCAGTGTAGTATTGAAAAGCCCACTCACAGAACACTATGAACTTATTTTAATGTAAATTTACAGCAAAGTGGAGTGTGCAAAATGGTAAATTTTTACTGAATTTAGAGGCTTTCAGTAGAATTTAATAGGATTTTAAGAAGACGGAGAATCGGCGGCAAGGAATTGGAGATTCCGTCGATTGCCGATTAGAAATGAGAGCAAAAATTAATAATAAAAATGATAATTTTCAGGGGGAAGTAAACGGAGTTAATAGTATTTAAGGTGGGGGTAGCTAATGTGCGCCATGGTGCGTACTGCCCATAATCATTTTTACTTTCTTTTTTCTTATTTCCGAAAAAAAAAAAAAAATTATTACAACAGCATGTTTGTTAGGGGTGTGTTTGGTAGTGGGTAATAAAAATGGGTAAGGAATAATAATAATAATAATAATATAATAATTTTAATTTAATTAAGTTAATTATTATTTGTTAATTTTAGGTATGAAATAGTTCGCTCACTTAAAAAGGTTCTACTTTTTTTTCCCCAAATTTTCTTATAGTTTTCTGGTACGTAGAAGAAAAGCAAAGCAAGATTCTTCAATATTTTTTAATTCTTTTTAGTATTAGGAACCAATTTTAATGGGATGATCAAACATACCCTTCAAGTCTCTTTTAAGAGAGTTTCTATTACTCCAATTTTGGGTAATTTAAATTTATCTTGAATTCTGACAGAGATTTCTATCCAATTAGTTTAGTTGAGGATGTTTGTCAAAATTCAGAATCAAATATATTGACCCATTCCTAGATTTTTCAATCATATCTAGAGCTTATTTTAAGGCATTGATTATTGATAATTACAAGATTATGTAATCAGACGCAAAAAGTCATTTAACTATTGCTAATTAGCAGAAACAAAAACAGTTGACACTAAACTGGATGATTGGAAATTTTGTTGTGTTTTTTTACGCATAATGAGTCAATTGGTCCCAAGTTCAGGGCTTGTCTAATCCTAACAGAAACTCTCAGGCCCATTTACCTTTTACAACAATCAATTAACATAACTAGATCAGATTTTAGTTTGTGTATTGTTGATACATGGGGAAATTTTTTTTAGATAATTTTCGTTTGTTTCATCAATTAATCCATAATTTCATGTCAACATCACTTTAATCATGTTTATTTTGATAGGGTCCAAATTATATTATTTATTGAGAAGAAATGCAAATAATTGTAATATACACCTTTATTATGTGTGGGTTTTCTTTCTTGCTTAATTTTATTCAATAATAAAAAATTCTAAAAACTTTTAAGAAAAAAATCCAACCAACCCACCATGGAAAAAAGAATAATTTACCACTTGGGTTGTTGGCTCACATTTATGATGAACACATGAAGATCAATGATACAATTGAATGGGGAGGGAGAATAAAGAAATAAAAATTCAATGGCTAATAATTTATGATTGAAAAATAATTAATTTACTAAAAGAAAAAAATAAAAAAATTATTCTTCTATGGTAGTGTGTGGTAGGGGACAAAAGATATTCCTGCCCTCATGTTTAAAAAACAAAAAAGAAAGAAAAAAAAAGAATTTATTGAATATTATAGCCAGCTAATTTTCCCATTTACTTCCAATATACATTTCACCTTTGAGGACAGGTCCCCCACTTCCTCTTCTCTCTCCTTTAATTCCTAATTTATTTCAAAAATATATAAATTATTCCATTAATTTAAAAGAATTAGTAACATTATAAATCCAATAATCAATAATAATGAAAATAACAACAAAAATAATTTCTATTTTTTTTAAGTGAATTTAATGTGTTCTACTTCTTATTGTTTTGGTAATAACTTGCATTTCAATAAATCAAACTAAAAATAATAAAAAAAAAAAAAAAAATCAGACGTTCACGGGCTTGCACAGGAACATCAGTGACGACGTGGAGGCATCACATTCGCCGAGTCTGTCATCAACCCCCAGTCTCTCATAATAATCAACGCAAAACAAAGAAAGCGAGAGTTGCACCTCGTCACGAGTCCACACTACTCTCTTCACTCGCCGCTGACGCCTCTGCTCCGCGAGCCGACTGAGCACGGGCCTTAAACAAACCATGTACAGCCTTTTATAACCACCAAGAGCCACCACAACGGGGCGTACACTAGAAGGAGGAGGAGACGACATGTGGCGAAAGCAGAGTTCCTCCCAAAGCAAGTCGTTGCGAGCTATGGTGCACCAGAGACGACAGACACATGCAGCGACGCAAAGGGAGCGACCGTCAAGTCGTTTGAGAATCTCAATAAGAATGTCAATGTGGTCGTTGATGAAGAACTTTGGTTTCTTTTGTTGCATGGCTTGGTTGTGGGGCTGGTGATGACGGAGATGAAGTTGCACCATAGGAATTAAAGGTGAGGTTTTTTAAAGAGGGAGAGCTCGTGCTCAGACTCAGAGATATATATAAACTGAAAGTGGGTATATAATGTATATATATACATACAACTCACAAGAGTCAAGAGTGGCTTTAGAGGGTTTTAATTTGTAGGGGTAACGTGTAGTTTAAGAGATTTGACTTGTGAAAGAGAGGGGCTCTGAGAGATTTGTTTGCATGCATGTGTGTGGTTATTTAATGAAAAGCTAAACAACTTTTAGAGATATAATCATTCGAGAAATTTATTTGGAGTTATGTATTTCAAGTTGATGAGAGAGATAGAGTGATTAATTAGCCATTAATTTGGATTAATGAAGGAGAGTTTAGTGTTTTATTAGGTTAAGATTAAGAGGGTGTGTAAGTGTTAGGGAAACAGTCAAAGATTTGGTGTAAATGAGAGAGAGAGAGAGAGAGAGGGTGTGGGTATCGAGGGGAGAGGAGAAGGGGCCAAGAGAAAAATTCCAAAGAAAAGAACTGGAACCAATGCTACCAATGGCTTTTCTTTTATTGTTTTGAATAAATGTTTTCGGGTTAAGCAGATTTGTTGTTTGTTGTTTTTGTTGTTTGCATATTTCAAGACTTTGTTTTAGGGCCGTTGTAAGAAAATCCTCACTACTTTCTCAGAATCACAAAGTTATTTATAACGTTTAGTTTTTAGTTTAGCCCTGCACTGCATAGACGACAGTCTGTAGCTCTATGCATATGCTGTTGCGTGTACATATTAAGGTTGTGGACCATTTCTTAGGGAATAGAGATCTATGACTGGGAAAAAGTGTCAAATTTTAGACACAATATTGGTTAATCCCATCAACTCAAGTCAATATGATTCTTATCTAGATGTTTGATCTGGGGTCTTACTGGTGGATTTTGATCTGGGTACCTAGAAACACAGTTTGAAATTTATAAACTAGATTTTTCACACGGGCAATACATCAAAAAGTCATACTGAAGAATCTTAAAACTTTCGTTGATTCAAATAATTAATAATGCATCTTGGGTTACCAACCAATAAACAAAAGGAAGAAGGGTTTAAGATGATAGAGAGGGAGAGGGAGTATTTATTTGGTTGTCTCTTGGGTGTTGGATTTTGGCTCAGAAAGGAAACACCCAAGACCTTTGAGACAGAAAGCACATAATATAATATCATTAAGATAAAGGTTTGAAATTAACATTAGATTTATAAAAGTTCTCTCTTTGAGGGGACTACCCCACCAGTATCTTCAGAGAGTTTCATGGGTAGTTGTTTGTATTGTGTTGGACTTGTTTCTTGGACACATTCATCCAACAAGCAACCAAGCACTCTTCCCTACTCTTGCTGAGAGGAATTTGATTATTGCAAAATTACAAGAAGAAACCCGTAAAAAAATTGCCAAAAATTTCACATTTTCACTCACTCCCTCAACGACTATCATTTGTACTTTGTTCTTTTGTAGTTTGTGGCTGTCACTTGCTGATAAGTCAACATACATAGAAGGGCTAGCTTTTACCGCTTCAACTTTGTGCTTGCTGTGAAAATCTATTTATCTAGACAGAAACTCATAAAAAAAATGAAATAAAAATAAGCGAACAGACAAACAAACAAGGAGATAAAAGGTAAGCAGAAAGGGCCCAGAAAAAGCAAACAAGGAAATTACAGCCAGGGTTCTAAATTAGTTCTATGTATCTATAACTGCTCTCTTAGCTTGAAGTGGATGATCTTGGAATCTGGGGTTTTCTCATTGTTTAAAAACTTTTGGTAGAAATGGTTGTATGTTTTCTCTATGGCATTGTTCCTTCAGGGGATTAAAGTTTTGTGGGAAATTCTTTGTTTTATGGGTTCCTTATAGAAGGAAACTTCTAATTCAACTTAATTGAATCTATGTACTGCCAGAATTTTACAGCTGTTTGACAAACTCTGACATGGAGATTTTGGTGCACTTATCTTCCATTTCCTTTACTGTAACTGCTAAATGTAAAACACAACGTTGAAACCTTTAACTCAAATGGAATCATTAACACTTTCATTTAGATCGATCTATTATCATGCCGTGTTAGTGTTGTTAGGTCCATGGACAACTTTAGACTTGGATCATAATTGACCAGTCAATCCCAGCATTAATACTTCTATGGAACATAACCAGCAAATAAGTTCAGCCACCAGCATTGATGCTCTTTTGAAGAAACAAAACTACTTGCATACTTTCACTTCCTAAGTCCTCTGTTTCTCTTTATTCTTTTCAGCTGCCTATCAAAAATCTTTGTCTTCTTTCCCCCGAACTTCCACTTCAGAGCTAAGCTTTCTTGACATAAATTTTCCACACGAGTATGAGACATTAAAGATGGTAAGGAATGCGAGCTCTGCTAGCTGTTAAGGAATCTGGCTTCTATTGACAAATTTAATGGGATTCCAATACTTTTCAGTATTTTGAAGGAAGCTCACCTGTAAGTCCATTGTGAGATAGGTCAATGACACATAATCTTGGAAAATGAACCCTTTATTACACCATAGAATCTGTTGGGTTCCAAATTGAGAAATTGTAGAGGGAAAGATATCATTGATTTTGTTATCTCCAAGATTAAGAAACTCTAATTTAGTACAATTGATCAATTATCTTGGAATTTGTCCTTCCAATAGATTGCTGCTCAAAATCTGTCATCCTCAAATTAGTTCCGTTCATGAAGGTTTGAGATATGTTTCCATGAAGTTTGTTCCCTAGCAACTCCAATATTGTTTGGTCATGAAATTGCTTAGACATTGTGGAAGTACACCGCTCAACTAATTGTTTGACAAATCAAGAGCAGCAAGATGATTCAAATTGCATATCCATGATGGACTTTCAGGGTCAAATTGTTCCCTGGAACTAAATAGTGAATGTGGACACTGGTGAAATGGGGAGTGAACCTTGTAATTTGTTATACCTGTCTAAACTCAGAAGTCTAGTTCGTGGAAGAACAACAGGTTGTTGGTTAAAGCCTGACAAAAGGTTGCAAGAAAGGTTCAAAGATGTCAACCAATATAGGCTTATGTTCAACAAACATCAGTAATTTGACCAGGTATATTGTTGGAGGAAAGGTCTAGTTGCTGCAATTCATCTTGGTCACGCAGGAACTTGGGAAATTCTCTAAGATCGCATGACCCTAACCCTAGTGATGCAAATTTCTGAAAATTGGTATTGACGTTGTTTTTTATGATTAGAACCATATCTAGCTACACTCTGTCCTTCAAATTCTTTGAACCAAGGTAAAAATGTTTAATATTTTGGAGTTTAATAATCACAAATGGGTAAAACTCATCCTTAAAAATCGGTTTGTAAAGGGAGGGAGCCCATGAGTTTATTAACCCGCATATCAAACCTATACTTTAATGATGTGATCATGTGAAAGTGAAACTCAATTTAGGATCATTACATTTAGTTCAAAGACAGAATTAGGAATTGAGCCTTGAAATTGATTCGACAAAGATCCAGCTAATTGGGTTAGATTGATGAGCCCAAAAGGGATTGGAATAGTTAATTGATTTAAATTCATTCGTATTTGTGTTATGCTATGTAAAGTAGAGGGAATCTCACTAACCAAGTTGATACAGGAACTTAGAGATTGAAGAAAATAAAAATGAAGTTTGGGCTGAAAAGTTGCTGGAAGAAAAGAGTAGAAACTCAAGCTAGGAAAGACTGCTCAGTGAAGATGGAAGCAGACCCGCGAAATTGCAGTTATAGATGCCCACTTCTTCTAAGGAACAAAGATTTCCCATACTCTACCCGAAAATTGTAATTGTTAGAATTAAGGGATAGTTTTTGCAAGGAAGACAGAGATCCGATGGAAGTAGGTAAATTACCCAAAAACATACTACCGTACAGGTATAGATGTTTCAGGCGGGTAAGATAAATAAGATTAGCTAATGAAGGTGGAACTTGGCCTGAGAAATGATTGGATAGAAGGTCAAGATAACTTTGATAACCAAGGAAGATAGCCATTTTTAGATTTTCTATTGAATCTGTAATCTCAGCAGTTCCCTCTAACTATCAATTCTTCAACGGGGCTGCTCTTGTCAAATTCCAGCAAATATCCTGTGAGATTTTGATATCTGCCACAAACGAAAATACTTTCTAGCAGTAAATATTGTAAAACAAAGATCTTCAACTCCTAATTTTTGGCAAAAAGGTGTAGCCATGCCAATCCTAAGACGGAGTTTTGACAAATTGTCATTTATTGAGCTTCTTTGTGTTAAATGAAAACGACTCTTTGTTTTGAATGAAGACGCACAGCCTCCTCTGACTATTCGGAATGATAAGATTCATATGGCAAGAGTCCAACATCGTGGAATTTTGTAATGTCCACACAATTGGATAAAGATCCTTGACCTCCATGCTTGATGTTACGATACTCAAATTACCGCTGGCTCAAAGCGAGTTGATATCAAGTTATGTAACTTTGGATCAAAATCCTTTTATGTTAGCAAAATTATTGACGAAATTGCATTTATTCATAATTATTAAGCTCTTCAAATTATAAAGTACATGATGCTCGTGACTACATTTAATAACTCATTATTCGAAGAAATAAAGCAAATTACATTCAGTTTCTCTGTCTTCTCTGCCTCTTACTTCTTTTCAGCTGCACCCCAAAAGTCTTCGCAAGCCATTCATGTTTTCTTTTGGTGAATATCTGCCCAACCATCATTCCAATTATAAAACCACTTGCATACCCTATCACAACTATTTTCCAACCAAACTGAATTGGAGACTCAGAATCTTGATCATCTTCATTCAAAGAGGTCTCGGAACTCTCACATTTTTTTGACAAAGGTTTTCCACATAATCCCGGATTCCCATCAAAAGAACTATTCTCAAACGTATCAAACTGTTTTCCTATTGGTATAGGTCCTGAGAGATGGTTGTGTGAAATGTTGAAGTATGATAGGAACGTGAGCTCTGCTAGTTGTTGAGGAATCTCTCCTGAGAGCATGTTATTGGAGAGATCCAACGACTCTAGTGCAGTTAGGTTGCCCAGAGATGATGGAATCCCTCCTTGGAGATTATTGTTGGAAAGGTTGAGACAATTAAGCCCCTTTAAGAAGGTAATGGCTGCTGGAATCTCTCCTTCAAATCTGTTGTTGGAGAGAATGATGCTTTTGAGGATATTTGAGACCTTCCTATATTCCATCTCTATACCTTTGTTCGTAATTGTTATGGAGAAATCATAAATATATCTTAATGAGTGATTATAAGTGGGAGAATCACTGGGTAATCTGAAGTATAAACTTTGCCGTGGTCGGTCTTGCATGTATGTCAGCTGACTAGCATTGACAATTGCTATGGCATTCCAACAATGGAAGTATTTCGACGGGAGCTTACCTGTAAATCTGTTGTGAGAGAGATCAATGATGTGTAGTTTGGGGAACGCAAAATGTGTTTCAGGCTCCCCTATTACTCCATGAAATCTGTTGGATTGCAAAATGAGAACCTTTAACTCTGGAAGAGTTTCTAGCCAAGATGGAAAAATATCAGTGATTTGGTTATTTCCAAGATCAAGAAATTCTAGCAATTCACAATTAGCCAATGATCTTGGAATTCTCCCTTGCAATAGATTGTGGCTAAGATCAATCATCCTAAGATTTGCTGCACTCACGAATGTTTGGGGAATGATTCCATGAAATTTGTTACCTTGTAAGTTTAATATCGATAGGAGAAAACTGAAATTGCCCAAACATTCTGGAAGCATGCCACTTAAGTCATTGGTGGACAAATCAAGAGAATAAAGATTATTCAACTTGCATATCCATGGTGAAATTTCTCCTGTCAGCCTGTTGCTTGAAAGCAGATAGTGACTGGTAGACACCGGTGGAATTGGAAGTGGTCCTTGCAGCTTATTGAACCTAAGGTCTAAAATGGATAGACGAATCCATGGAAGAACAACAGGATGTTGGTCAAACCCTGTTAAAAGGTTGTAAGAAACGTTCAAGTATTCCAAACTACCTGTGCTTACATTTAACAACCATTTAGGTATTTGGCCAGCTATGTTGTTGGATGAAAGGTCTAACAGCTCCAATTGATCTTGGCTTTGCAGGAAGTTCGGGAATTTGTTAAGATTGCAAGAACCCAATCCTATGAACACCAATTTCGGAAGAACAGTGACAGAGGTTGATGTGTGCAATGACAAATTGTTTGAGGATAGGAAAAGCACTGTTAAACTTTTGAGTTTAGTAAGAAGCATTTCTAGCTCCACTTTACCACTCAAATTATTTGAACTAAGGTCAAGATATTCAAGATTCGTGAGTTCAGAGATAGAGCTAGCAATCGGGCCTTGCAACTTATTTGACGAAAGATCCAGAACAGTCAAATGGGTTAGGTTCCAAATTTGAGATGGGATATGACCAGTTATTTGATTAGACTTGAGAGATAGAAGTGCCAACTGGTTCAGGTTCCCAAGCCAATAAGGGATTGGACCTGTTAATTTGTTGTTATCAAAAAACAGGTATGTAATTTGTGATAGGTTCATGAGCCAAGAGGGAATTTCACCGATTAAGTTGATATCTTGCAGGTCTAGCCAAGCAAGTTTGGTCTGCCTAGCCAAAAATGACATTGAACGAGAATGTTGGACCGAAAAATTGTTTTGCGAAAGTGCCAGGCATTTTAGTTGGGTAAGATTACCAAGTGAAGATGGAACTTGGCCTGAGAAATTGTTGGTGTTAACATCCAGTTGTTCCAAAACACCAATACTTCCCAAGGAAGCAGGCAACTCGCCAAAAAAATTATTAACAGAAAGGTCAAGATAGAGGAGCTTGGTAAGGTTACCAATTGAAGACGGAATTGTTCCTGAAAAAGAATTATTTGACAGATTAAGTAACACCAACTTGGAGAGCTGTGGGATATGGGATAATACATTACCAGAAAGGGCGGAAAGAGAGAGGTTTAGATGTGATAACCTTGAAAGATTCAAGATTTCAGAAGGGATTTTTGAGTGATTAAAGTGATTATCGGCAAGGCTAAGCCATTCAAGATGGACAAGTTGGAAGAGGGTGCTGTCGGAGTGGATAGAACCATAGAGGAAACTACTAGCAAGGTCAAGGCTGAAGACATGACCGGTGTCCTCATTGCACTTGATGCCGTCCCATGAGCAGCAGTCGCCATTTTCCTTTTCCAGCTTCCACGATGCCGTCTTGGGATAAGCAGAAGGATCAATTGAAGCAGACTTATTCAAGGTAAGGCTGTCCTTGAATTGCAACAAGGCAGAACGCTCATCATCATGGCAAAGTGGCTGAATAGAAGCAGTAACAGCTATAAGATGAAACAATAAGAAACAAAAAACTATGTGCACAAATGCAAAGAAGTATAAGGATAACCCCATAATTCCTTAGTACAAAATAGAATTTGATTTGGTTTTTAGCTATGTAAATATGGTTGCGAAGTTACATGCTTTTATAGCAGCAGCTGCTTGTAGTTGTTGTGAATGACATTGCTCATGATCATGCATGAGTCATTCTTCAAATTCAAGACCATAAACACTGTTGACGTAAAGGCCGTGGGAACAAGGCCTAAGGCTTTTGAAAATTCTAATATTATTTAGTCATCAAATTGAAAGTTGGGTCCAATAATTCATACAATCTGAAATAAAATCTTTTGACGTGCATATGCGTGATATTGAAAAATGAAGTTTCTAAGAAATAAGCAGTTGGAACTTGGACGGGTGAGAGATTAAAACACCTATACATCAATGATCAAAATTGTCATCTGAGTTTCAGTGGAAATTCATCAAGCTTTGAATGATTGACTCTGAGTCTGCTGGAAGCCATATGCAAACAGTCTTTGGCAGCTAGCTTGACTTTGCTAACATCTAATTTATGAGCAATACTACTATTCTCAAATGAAATCCCAAATTTTCCATTCCAAATGTTGTGTCATCTCATATGACGTTGACATATATCATTTTATATTGCAACTCCTCCTTTACGTATCAAAGCCACCTAAGGGAACATATCACTTGAGATGAGAAATTTGAGATATTATTTGAAAAGAGTGATGTTAATCATAAACATTTTCAATTGTCAAGATAAATTTAACAGTTGAGCCATCTATCATCAACCGAAACTTTACCTGTCATATTTAATTTAACCGTAAAAGTTATAGTTAGGTGAAAAAAATCTGAAATTCCACTAATCGTTTTTATTTTATTTTTTATTTTTTATAAAAAAATAGAATAGAAAATAAATCTTCGTAAATTTAATAAACAGGTAATATATGGAAATGAGAAGTTGGAACTTGGACGGGTGAGAGATTAAACACCTATATATACATCATGATCAAAATTGTCATCTGAATTTCAGTGGAAATTGATCAAGCTTTGAATGATTGACTCTGAATCTGCTGGAAGCCACAAGTCATTGATGCAAACATTCTGTGTCAGCAAGTTTGACTTTTTCGGTTTTTAAATAAATATTATCATTAAAAGAGAAAAAAAAATTTAAACAGAGGTCATAAAAAAATCAGTCATCTTACCTCTAGACGAGCTTTAAGATAGGAATAAAAACACTAAGCCTAGCTAATAAACTAAAAACCTAGTTAATCTCTTATTGTTTGTCTATATTAAGTACGCGAAGGATGGGAGACAAAGACATCATACTATAAGACATGTCCTGGGATAGGGGAAAAAAAAAAAAAAAAAAAACAAACAAGACTAAAAACAACTATACACAACATCATTCCTACCTCAAGACAAGTCTTGGGTTAGGAAAACCGATGTTTGTCATATGTTGGTTTTGAAGATAGTCATAGGTAATCCTCAAATCTCTGCAAGTCTTCTATTGGCCAAGGAAGATTTCATTTTGTTGAGGTCCATAGCCCTATCTCTCACCATGTTCCAAATGTGGTTGTGAATTGTTCAAGCATCTATAAAATCTCCTTTAAAAAATCTATTGTTCTTCTCCCTCCAAATGAAATAGACCATAGCACCCAAGCATAATTTACCTACAGCATACTTGAGTTTGTTTGTCTTCCAATCCATAGACAAGGAATTAACATAGTCATGCAAAGGCATCTCTCTATAACCAAGAGAAGAGACCACAAGAACACAACACCAAATGAACTTTGTGAAAGCACCTGCGAAGAAAAGATGATCCAAAGATTCTTGGGCTGATTTTACAAAAACAACGACATGCATTTTGAGTAACACTATACCTCATCAATTTGTCTTTGGTGTTGAGCTTCCCTTTAATAGCCATCCAAAGAATCATAGCATGTCTAGCAATTGATTTCCTAAACCACACAAGGTGGTGTCATTCCACTATACTTTTCCTTAATCTGAATTCATTCCAAGCCGACTTGATTGAAAACCACCAGCCATAGAAGGTACCCATATAATTTTATCCCCACTCATAGAGAGATTAAAATTCACAAACTTTTTCATTTCCGTTAAAGCATAATAACTTGCAACCGGCCATTTCCACTCCCCTCCCTCACAAATCTCACTAACCTTGGCATCTTGGGGGAGGCCCGAGTTATAAATAATCCTAACCCCAAGCTTGACTTTGCTAACATCTAATTTATAATAAACATTAAGTAATACTACTATTCCCATATAAAATCCCAAATTTTTCATCCCAAATGATATGTCAATGATGATGTGTCATCTCATGTGGCATTGACATATCATTCGACATCTCAACTCCTCGTTTACACATCAAAGCCACATGAGAACATATTACTTGGGATGAGAAATTTGAGATATTATCTGAAAATAGTAGTATTATTTATAAACATTTTATTGTCACAAGAAATTTAACAGAAACCCTTGAGGCATCTACCATCAACTGAAACTTTACTTGTCATATTCAATATAATCGTAGAAGTTATAGTTAGGTGAAAAAATCCGAAATTCCATTGAGCACTTTTTTTTTTTTTTTTTTAATTTATAAAAAAATAGAATGGAATAAAAAACTTTGTAAATTTAATAGACAGGTAATATATCTATCTGAAACATAATCAAAATTAAATAAAGTTCTTTGACAATCAAGGTTCATATATATATATATACATGCAGCAAGAATTAATGAGTACGAAATATAAGTATTTTACAAAATTATTCTCTGTTGCACTAAAACTCAAGTAAGAGAAACCACGTCGAACAAGCACCAAAGTTATGGGCAATATAACCCGAACTTGTTCTTTCTCATTAAGTGTTAACAATGTCTCATTTCTGGAAAGGGATAAGAGTGGTGGTGACACACTTGCAAATTATAATTTTTTTTCTTGCTGTCATTGCAAAATTCTCAGTCATATCCAAGTCTTCTAGTTTGATCCCATTTGGGAGTTTCGAGTCGAAGTGATAAAAGCATTTGAGCAAGACCAAGTTCAATGGTAGAAGTTGCAAATGATATGCCAGGACAAATCCTCCTAGCAGCACCAAATGGAATCAATTCAAAGTGGTTCCCTCTGAAGTCAATTGAAGATCCTTCAAAACGCTCTGGTTGAAAGCTTTCAGGATCTTTCCAGATTTCTGGATCTCTCCCCATTGCATAAGTGTTAATGAGGATTTTGGCCTCGGCTGGTATTTTATATCCACTAATCTCACAGCTTTCCCTTGCTTCTCTTGGAAGTAAAGGACCTGGAGGGTGCAATCTGAAAGTTTACTTAATAATACCTTTCAAGTAATCTAGCTTTTGAACATCTGCCTCCTTAATTTTGCTATTTCCTTCACATGCTTGTCGTACCTCTGCTTGTGCTTTCTCCATTACTCGGGTATTTAAGCAGCTCTGACATAGACCATTCAGTTAATGCTGCTGAAGCCTGAAGTCTCACTCCCTGCAGAGAAAATGTCCTGGAAATAGATACAAGTTACAATGAGTTAAAAATTCATATTTTTTGACTAATAGATCTTTTTAGTATGTTTAGTAAGAACAAGAGTTACAGGTCTTACCATAGTCACAGCTTTGACTTGGTGAATTGTAAAACGAAACTCATTCTTATCAACCTCTTCATAATTTATAAGTGTGTCAACGATATCATCATTGTCGTTGGTATTAGCTTTTCTTTTCAACTTATGTTCTGCGACAATATCCTCAAGAATCTAATCTATCTTCTTCTGAATTTTCAAAAGTGCAGGTTTCAACCCGGTCAGGGCACAAAGAGATGTAAAATCTGCAATGTTAAAGCCTCCAGCAAGATGCATTATTTCGTGAAGAAAGGACGTAAAATCATATTGCTCTTTTACACTACTTCTTGCCAAAAGCAGCCTGCGAAACCACGTTATTTGTCATGGCGAAAATCTTCTCACTGAGATTTATTACTGTAATAATCTAAGCAGGAGGTGGCAAAAGAGGCAATTGTATTGCCGAAGAATGCCAAGAAGAATAAAGGATGGCAATAGGAGCAACTATGTTGTTGAAGAATGCCGAGAGGAAGAAAGAAATATAGAAGAATGTGTGTATTTCATATATCTTTGCAATGTGTACAAATGCCTCTTTATACAGAGGCTATGTAAATAATAAAGGAAATACAATCAATCCAATCAATATAAAATGCTTACATAATATTACAACAAATAAATCAGTAGCATAATATCTGCAATAATTTTGTCATTGATTCCAGCAATATAATCTTCAGCATTCCATATTACATCACTCCTCCTCAAGCTGATGGTTTGTAGATGTCGAAAACTCCTAGCTTGTGTAGTAAATATGAATGTTGATGACTACATAGAGGTTTCGTGAAAATGTCTGTTGGTTGTTCTACAGTTCTGATGTGCATGGTCTTGATAGTCCCTTCTTGAATCTTCTCTCTAACAAAATGACAGTCAATCTCTATATGCTTAGTCCTTTCATGGAATACTGGATTTGCTGTGATGTCATTAGAAGCTTTATTGTCACAATACAAAGTGACATGTTTTCCTGTTTGTACCTCTAAATCTCTTAGTAATCCAAGGATCCAAACAATCTCACAAGTTGTCTTTGTCATGACTTTGTATTCTACTTCTGATGAGGAAAGTGAGATCATTGACTGCTTCTTTGTTTTCCAGGAGATAAGTGATCCTCAAATTTTAATACAGAACCCAGTGAGTGACTTTCTCGTCATAGGGCATGTACCCCAATCAGAATCACAATATGCTGTGACATCCAAATTTCCATCTCTTGGTAACAGAAGTCCCAGACCAGGACATCCTTTCAAGTATTTTAGTAGTTTAATTGTTGTGTCCATATGAGACTATTTTGGCCCATGCATAAATTGACTCAAAATGGGAATGGCATAGCTTATATCAGGACGTGTCATGGTGAGATAAATCAATCTTCCCACAAGCTTCTGATAGTGAGATGGATCTTCCAATGGAGGATCGTCTTCTGAAGATGATGTCGCATGATCATATTGCTAGGTTGTGAGCTTAGTATTTTGTTCAACAGGAATGGCGCTCAATTTGTATGCAGATAAGCCAGATTCTGACACAAGCTCAAGAACATACTTTCGTTGACTAAGAGATATCCCTGCTAGAGATTGTGCGATCTCTATCCCCAATAAATATTTAGGCTCCCCCAGATCTTTTATACGAAAGTATCTATTGAGATGTTCTTTTAGTGTATGGATGTTGTCTTCATTATTTTCTGTGATTAGAATGTCGTCCACGTAAATAATGAGAGCAATGAAGGACGTACCTTTGCGCCATGAAAAAAGAGAGTAGTCATGCTTGGATTGGACAAATTCTATGCTTGTAAGGGCCTCGATGAACTTTGCATTCCACTGGTGTGATGCTTGTTTTAAACCATATAAGGACTTTCGTAGACGACATACGAGATTCTCCCCCTATCTACGTAGTCCTGGTGGGAGATCCATATAAATTTTCTCATGAAGGTCCTCATGGAGGAAGGCATTATGAACATCCATTTGATAAAGGGACCAGTTGCGGATAGCAGCTATTGACAAGAAGGCCCGAACGGTAACATGTTTGGCCACCAGGGAAAAGGTTTCTTGATAGTCAAAGCCTTCTCGCTGTGTGGAGCCTTTTTCCACGAGACGGACTTTGTACCGTTCAATCGAGCCATCAGCACGATGCTTGATCTTATACACCCATTTGCAGCCTATAGGCTTCCTATGAGGAGGTCGAGGAACGAGATCCCAAGTATGATTTTAGGAGAGAGCATTCAGTTCATCAGTCATGGCTTGACGCTAGTGGTTATGGGAGATAGCATCAGAATAGCAGAAAGGTTCTTGATGTGTTGAAATCTGACTAATTCATACCATGTGTGCAGGAGAAAGCCGGTCATAACTGACATAATTAGAAGTTGGATAAAGTGTACCTGTGGCAGTTGGAATAGTGGGACAGACATAGTCCGCTGTCCAAATAAGAGGTCGAGTAGACCTTGTAGATCGTCGTGGAACCGGTTCAAGAACCATAGGAAGATTGTCCAGAGAAGGAGGTGGTGGACTAGCTGTCTGATCTCTATGGGATGATCAGAAGGAGCAGCATCTGAAGTAGATCTGGTAGGTTCCACATTAGTAATAGGGTGCATGGTGAAGGATGGTCCAGAGAGATCGGAGGGATCTTCCAAAAAGTTAGATAACTGTTGAGGAGCATGGTGAGATGTTGAACCGTCCAAAAAAGAAAAGTTGTCTTTGTGAAAAATCACATCTCTAGAAACTCATAATCTAACGGTGGCTGGATCATATAGTCAATAACCTTTCTGATGCATCAGATATCCCATAAAGATACACCGTGTGGCTCGGGGATCAAATTTGTCATGGCCCCCGGCCAAGATTAGTGAAATAACATAAACAACCAAATACCCGAAGATGATCAACTGTCGGTGGTTTGCCAAAGAGGAGCTCATAGGGGGTCTTACCATGAAGAACCTGGCTTGGCATCTGATTGATGAGATAGGTAGTTGTGACCACACATTCGCCCCAAAAGCTAATTGGTATGTTGGCTTGGTGTTTTAGGGCATGGGCTACTTCTAACAGATGTCTATGTTTGCGTTTGACTATGCCATTTTGCTGGGGGGTATACACAGAAGAGCTATCATGGATAATACCAAGAGATGCGAATAATTCAGAATAGTGAAAGTTAAAAAAATCCCGGGCATTATCAGTTCGAATACGTTGAACTGAAATGTCGAATTGAGTTTTGACTATGGACAAAAAATTCATAATGTGTGTGAGGGTTTGGGTTTTAGAATGCATGAGGAAGACCCAAGTTCCCCAAGAAAAATTATCAACAACAGTTAGGAAAAATCTAGATCCATCGTGATTTGGTGTGTAATAAGGTCCCCAAATGTCCATAAGAATTAAAGACAAAATGTGTGTGGTGGAGGGTGTGTGTTTTGGAAATGTGATACGGGATTGTTTGGCAAGAGGACAAATAAGACAATTAGGTTGGGGTATAGACGCACTATGACCCAATCTTTGATGCAAAATAAGAGACTTTTTATTAGTGTTTGTATTACAATGAGAAGATTTATTTTGTGTAATACAGTACATAGAATTTCCTACTTTTGTATCAGGATCACATATCCAATAATAGAGACCATTGTGGACTTTACCTGAGCCCATCAGTTTCCCAGTCAAACGGTCTTGAAACTCACATTTGTTAGGAAAAGTTTTTAAGACACAACTATTATCTTGGCAAAGCTTGGAAACAGATATAAGATTAAATCGAAAAGCCGAAACAAATAAGACATTGTGAAGGACTAAGTGTTTGGAAATGGTAACCGTTCCTATTTGTGTGGCTAGGGCAATTGTACCATTCGGCATACAAACAGATGCGGAGGATTGTGTGGATGTGTGGGAGAAATGTTTAGAGTGCAAACAATGTGGTCACTAACCCCTGAATCAATTATCCAGATATCATCTTTAATCAAATGAAAACAAAAAGATGTACCTGCATACAATGCTGTATTGGCCTGGGAAATCTGATTGAGTATCTGAAGCAAATGTTGATATTGATCTGGGCTGATCACTGGAGCTGTAATCCCATTTCTAGAAGTGACATTTTGATTAATTTGATTTGCTGTAGCAGGCCCAAATCTCTGAGTAGGTGGGCGTCCATGTAACTTCCAACAAGTGTCTCGATTGTGGTTTTTCTGCTTACAATAATCACAATATCTCCCCTTTTTAGAGGATCCGGCATGATTGGGCCTATTTTGAGAATTTGGGCCGTGTGGAGTATTTGTGTTATGGGAAACATGTGGGCCATGAGAAGTATGTTGCCCATTATTGCCATTAAAAAAAGAAAAAGTATTTTGGCCATTGGATTGGATGAGTTCATCTTAGGGCTGTGCAAAAAAATCCAATATCCGATATCCGATCCTAATCCACTCCGCTCCGCTCCGAAAAATTCGGATATCCGAAAATTCGGATCGGATACGGATCAGAATTTAGCAAAATCTGAATATTCGGATCGGATACCGGATCGGGATTATAAAAAATCGGATATCCGTATCCGATCCGGATTTTGCTAAACTACGTCGTTTTGAGTTTTCAAAATTAAATTCACCCTAAGTCCCTAACAGTGCTAACACAGTAACACACTAACACTAAGTCACTACTCACTAAGACACTAACAGTCTGTCTGTCTAAGTGTCTATACTCCAACTCTCCAAGTCTCCAACGAAAAATACAACTCTCACTACTCTGACTCTCTGTCTCTGTGTCTCAGACTCGAACACGAACCCTAAACAGTAAACACCCAGTATCTCTCTCGTTCGACTCGAACACGAACATGCAGTCTCGCACTCTCGCTCACGCACAGTCGTCATCGTCAATCGCACAGCCTCTCAGTCTCTCACAGTCGTCATCGTCAGTCGCACAGCCTCTCAGTCTCTCACAGTCATCATCGTCACTCGTCAGTCGCACAGCCTCTCAGTCTCTCACAGTCGTCATCGTCATCGTCAGTCGCATAGCCTCTCAGTCTCTCATAGAGTCACAGTTTCACTCTCTCAGACCAGATCGCGTCTGTACTCTGTCGTCTCAATCTCTCACTGTCTCTCTCGCTCAAAGCCTGAAACACGCACAGCCTTAAGCCTTTCACTCTCTCAGACCAGAATCAGTGAATCACCAGATCTTATCTCAATCTCACTCTGTCTCTCTCGCTCGAATACGCACAGACAGAGACACAGCCGATTGAAGCCCCAAATCGATTGTTGTCATAGCCTAAGGCGACTGCCGCCACACCGTAATAGCCTGGTGAGATTTCGTTTGGTTTTATGATTGAATTATTGATTTGTGTTTCTAACGGCTGCTGTGGTTAATTTGGCGTTGGTTGTATTAAGTTTTGGGCCTACATTTGTACCTTTGTGTTTCAAACTTTTGGAGGAGGTAAGGAAAGATCACAACTACACCCATTTGATACTTGATACCCATCAAACTTTCTGCTAAAATCAGTTTTGCTTTTTTGAGGTTTGAATGTTTGATGCCATTTTAGTCTTTTAAGGTAATCTTTTAGTAAATCAAAGTCTCAATTTCACCTTGCCTTGACAAAATTGGAGATTCATGAGATGGTTAACAATTTTTGCCAGTAACAATAAAATCTTTGTTAATACTGTAATTTTTTTTATCACAAGTTAATTATCATATTACCTAAGTAAAGTGAGATTATTATATCATTTATCAAATAAAATATTGAGCTATGTCTACACCAACTGAAAGAAGATGGAGTAGTAGCAAATTTAGCAAGTGTAGAATAGGCAGAGTTGTTAGAAAGTATAAAAATATATTAATTATTGGCTTTCTACTCTATTATTGGTTAAAACTTTGTTCCCATAAACCAATTGACTGTATCTCCAATTCAAAGATATGGACATTGGACAGCGTCATCGATTGTGTCATTTAGATGATTTCGTTTGGTTTTATGATTGAATTATTGATTTGTGTTTCTAACAGCTGCTGTGGTTAATTTGCATTGTACTATGTGAAACTTATTAAGTCTTGTCTAATTTGCTGTCTCTACGTGATTCAAATGTCTTAATTGATATATTCTTTTGTATTGATAATGTAGATGTCATCTACCGGTGAAAATAATAGTACTACTTGTGGGACTTCAAATGCCGTTCATACATCGACACTGGTGACAAGTGACAATGTAAGTCCTACTCCTGAAAATGTCGTGTCTCCACCAGGAACACTACCACTACCACCACCACCACCACGAGCATCCAAACGTGTAAGTTCTACTACTAGTAGTACTAGGAAAAATGCTTCTGATGTGTGGAACC